ACTGTCAGAGGGTCAGTGCTGAGGGAGTGCCGCACTGTCAGAGGGTCGGTACAAAAGAACATACGAACGAGGAGCAGGAGTAGGCTGTTCGAGCATGCTCCGCCATTCAATAAGATCGTGGCTGATCTTTTCATGGACTCAGATCCACTTACCCACATTCTCACCGTATCCCTTAATTCCTTTATTGTTCAAAAAAATATCTACCTTATCTTTAAAAACGTTTACTGAAGTAGCGTCAACTACTTCACTGGGCAAGGAATTCCATAGATTAACACCCCTCTGGGTAAAGAACTTCCTTCTCAATTCAGTCCTAAATCTGCTCCCTCTAATCTTGAGGCTATGCCCTCTAGTCCTAGCTTCACCTGCCAGTGGAAACATCCTCTCTACTTCTATCTTATCTATTCCCTTCATAATTTTATATGTTTCTATAAAATGCCCCCTCAATCTTCTGAATTCCAATGAATATAATCCCAATCTACTCAGTCTCTCCTCATAAGCCAACCCCCTCAACTCCGGAATCAACATAGTGAACCTCCTTTGCACCCCCTCCAGTGCCAGTACATCCTTTCTCAAGTAAGGAGACCAAAACTGCACACAGTACTCCAGGTGTGGCCTCACCAGCACCTTGTACAGCTACAACATAACCTCTCTGCTTTTAATCTCAATCCCTTTAGCAATGAAGGACAAAATTCCATTTGCCTTCCTAATTACTTGTTGTACCTGCAGACCTACCTTCTGTGATTCATGCACAAGGGCACCCAGGTCCCTCTGCATAGCAGCATGCTGCAACTTTTTACCATTCAAGTAATAATCCTTTTTACTATTACTCCTACCAAAATGTATGACTTCACATTTATTTACATTGTATTCCATCTGCCAGACCTTTGCCCACTCACTCAATGTATCTATGTTCCTCTGCAAAGTTTCACAGTCCTCTGCACACTTTGCTCTGCCACTCATCTTAGTGTCATCTGCAAACTTTGACACCCTACACGTGGTCCCCAACTCCAAATCATCTATATAAATTGTAAATAATTGCGGTCCCAACACCGATCCCTGAGGCACACCACTAGTCACTGACTGCCAGCTAGAATAGCACTCATTTATCCCCACTCTTTGCTTCCTGTTAGTCAACCAATCCTCTATCCATGCTAATACTTTACCCTTAATGCCATGCATCCTTATCTTATGCAGTAGCCTCTTGTGCGGCACCTTGTCGAAGGCCTTTTGGAAATCTAGGTACACCACATCCACTGGGTCCCCATTGTCCACCTCGCTGGTAATGTCTTCATAGAATTCCAAAAGATTTGTCAAGCATGACCTGCCCTTCATGAACCCATGCTGCGTCTGCCCAACGGGACAATTTCTATCAAGATGCCTTGCTATTTCTTCCTTGATAATAGACTCAAGCATCTTCCCCACTACAGAGGTTAAGCTAACCGGTCTATAATTCTCCATCTTTTGTCTACTTCCCTTTTTAAACAGTGGCGTCACGTTTGCTGTTTTCCAATCTGCTGGGACTGCCCCAGAGTCCAGCGAATTTTGGAAAATTACCGCCAGTGCACCTGCTATTTCTCCCACCATCTCTTTTAGTACCCTGGGATGCATTCCATCAAGGCCAGGAGACTTATCAATCCTTAGCTCCATTAGCTTGCCCAACACTATTTCTTTCGTAATAACAATTGTTTCCAGGTTCTCACCTACCTTCGTCTCTTTGTCAATTACTGGCACGTTATTAGTGTCCTCCACTGTGAAGACCGATACAAAATACCTGTTCAATGCCTCGGCCATTTCATCATATCCCATAACTAAATTCCCCTTCTCATCCTCTAAGGGCCAACGTTTACTTTAGCCACTTTTTCAAGCCACTTTTTCGTTTCATATATTTATAGAGGGAGGTAGTGAGGGAGTGCCACGCTGTCGGAGGGTCAGTACTGAGGGAGTGCCGTACTGGCGGGAGGTGACTCAGTACTGAGGGAGTGCCGTACTGGTGGGGGGGTGGGGCTCAGTACTGAGGGAGCGCCGTACTGGCGGGAGGTGTTTCAGTACTGAGGGAGTGCCGTACTGGCGGGGTAGGGGGAGTTGCTCAGTACTGCAGGGGTGGGGACGCTCAGTACTGAGGGAGCACTGTACTGGCAAGGGGGTCAGTACTGAGGGACTGGCGGGGGTGGTGTCAGTACTGAGGGAGCGCTGTACTGTCTGCAGTGCTTTTTTTCTGATGAGACAATGAAATGAGGCCCCGCCTGTTCTCTCAGGTGTGTGTTAAAGGTCCTATGATAATATTTTAACTTCAGTGACATGGAAAGAGATTAAACTTTTGGTCTTATTGCTACGTATTGTGAATTGGCTGCCAGTATGCTGAGACTATGACAGGTTCTACTACAGTGTAAGTCGTTTGTATTTGGCAAAACAATTGTGTATCTTTAAGGGTCTTGTGAAGCAGTGGTCCCTACCTCCCAGCCAGGTCCTGGTTCCAGTCCCATCTACCCGGGGGTGTGCTGCAGTAGATCCAAGCTGGTTCATTCGGAAAGTAATTGAGCACTTATAGGACGGGGCAGTGCTGCTATGAGTTTCTCTGTTAGGTCCAGCCTCTCTGTACACTAAAAGCAGAAGCGGCCGCATGGTGGCTGGCTTGGAGAGTGATTTAAGGGAAAGCATCTTCTAAAATATTGATGAATGAAAACTGTATTAATGACTAAACAAAACTTTTGCTTCTGTCCTGTGTTTAGGTATGAACATGAAATCGGAAGAGAATCTGCATTGGAAATGCTGGCTTATATCTTTCAATCCTTTCCACAGGTTGGTTCATAAGATATTAAACCATATACTTTATACCTGGCCTCATGTGCTGATTGGTTGGTAAATAAACTCTGATGGACCAAGACATGGCCACGTTGAAAACAATAGGGTACTGTAGGCTTTCCAAACTCTCAAAAGGCACAAGGCGTGAATACATTACAGTCAACGATGCTTGATACTCATTGTTGAAGGATGTCACTGTTGGATCAAATAACCTGTTCTGAAGCTGTTGAGTCTCTCTGAACCTTGATTAAATCTCCCCCTCGAAGTTCCCAGCTCTGAGGGGATCAACCACAGCTTTTCAACTCAAAACTGAATTTGTTACATCCTGAGCCCTGTAACGAAAGCAGAAATTGTTGGCAAAACTCAGCAGGCCTGGCAGCTTCTGTGGGAAGAAAGCAGAGTTAACGTTCCAAATATTGTAACTCTTCTTCAGTCAAAATCTGATACTAAGCTGCACAGGATATCGGAAGTACATGAAGTATATTCCTCTGATAAAAAGTCACTTGACTCGAAATACTAACTCTGCTCTCTTCCTACAGATGCTGCTAGACCTGCTGAGTTTCTCCAGCTATTTCTGTATTTTGTTTCAGAACTCAAACGTCCGCAGTTCTTTGTTTTATTAAATCCGTTTGTGACATGTTTCTGAATGTCTTTGTCTTTGTGTCTGCCGGCAGGGTCTGCTTCATCAGCACTATGCTCTTTTCTTCATCCCTGTCACTCTGATGATTGTGAATGATGACTCACCGAGGTGCAAGAAGATGGCAGCTCTGGCAGCCCAGTCATTGTTGAGCAAGGTGGACGAGGAGCACAAGGACCTGATGTTTTCGTTGGTTTTGACATGGTTCCAAAGCGAAAAGGTCGGAGCCTGGGCCTGAAGTAGTTTGAGAGGGTCATTAATGTTTTAGGATTCACTTCCCTGGGAAAAGGGTCATTGAATTTATTCAGAGCTGAGGTGGGTGGATTTTTGACCAAGGAAGGAGTGCAAGGTTATGGATTGGGGGAGGGTGGCGATGTATGGCAGAGGAGGCTTGAAGGGCTGAATGGCCTACTCCTCCTACTACTTATGCCCTTGATGAAATCTTGGGTTACTTTCAGCATGCTTCTTCAGATCATGAGGGTCAGAGATGTTTTAAGAGGCTGCAAGAGAAAAGAGCATTTATTTCTGTAGCTACTGTGACAGTGTCAGAACGTCACCAAGCACCCTGCAGCCAATGAAATACTTGGAAGATGTTACCGATGTATCGTGAGAAACCTGGCACATCGTTTGCACTGTAAAATCCCACAATCAATGATGTATTAACACTCCAACAAGGTTTGGAATCGGAAGGGTATAGGATTAAACCACTTGAATTAGTGAGTGAGCTTTTCCATTGTGACTCATTAGTTCTGTGATAAGCCAACAATTAGACCATAAGAAATTGGAACAGGAGTAGGCCTTTCATCCCCTTAAACCTTAACTGCCATTCAGTAGGGTTATGCCTGATCTGACATTCCTCGTATCCACTTTCCTGCATTTTCCCTGTCACCCTTGATTTCCCAACTGATCAAGAATCTATCCATCTCAGCCCTAAATATACGAAAGGACTCTGCCCCCACAGCTCTCTGTGGCAAGAAGTTCCAAAGACACTCAACCCTCTGAGAGAAGAAATTCCTCCTCAGCTCAGTTTTAAATTGGAGCTCCTTTCTTCTGAGTCTGTGCCCTCTGGTCCTAGATTCTTCCATGAGGGGAAACATCCTCTCTCAGCATTTATCTTGTCGAGCTCCTTATGCATCCTCCTTGTTTCAATGACATCACCTCTCATTCTTATAAACTCCAGTGAGTAGAGTCCCAATTTATTTAGCTTTTGCTCATAAGACAATCCCTTCACACCAGGGATGATGTGAGTGAGCCTTCTCTGAACTGCCTCCAATAAAATGATATATTTTGTTAAATAAAGGGACCAAAACTGCTCTCAGTACTTGAGGTGTGGTCTCGCCAGCACCTCATACAGTTGAAGTAAGGCTTCCCTACTCTCATACTCCAGCCCCTTTGAAATAAGGACAACAGTCCATCAGCCTTCCTGAGAACCTGCTGTAACTGTGTGCTAGCTTCCTGTGTTTTGTACACAAGGACTCCCAAGTCCCTTGTGATGCAGCTTTCTGCAGCTTTTCTCCATTTAAAAATGCTGTATTCTTTTTTTCTCTCTTCCAAGTTGAACAACTTCATGTTTACTCACATTGAACTCCAATTGCCAACTTTGAGCTCACTCACTTAACCTGTCAATATCTCTCTGCAAACTGTTCACCTGAAATGCCGAGAGAGATCCCAAGGCATTTCACAGAAAGTTGATGAGACAGTGGTGGAGACTGAACCAAGGAAAATGATATTGAGATTGATAACCAAAAGATGGTTTGCAGAGGTAGGTTTTACAGGTTATCTTAAAGGAGGACAACTCGTGCAGGTTTCCCAAACTAAACTAGCCCCATTTCCCTGCATTTGGCCTGTATCCCTCTAAACCTTTCCTATTCATATACCTGTCAAATGTCTTTTAAATGTTGTAACTGTACCTGCATGCACCACTTCCTCTGGCAATTCATTCCATATATGCACCACCGTCTGTGTGAAAAAGTTGCCACTTGGGTCCCTTTTAAATCTTTCCGTTCCCTCTAATTTTGAACTACCCCACCCTGGGGAAAAGACCTTTGCTATTCATCTTATCTGTGCCCCTCATGATTTTATAAACGTCTATAAGGTCACCCCTTAACCTTCCTACGCTCCAAGGAAAAAAAAACCCAGCCTATCCAACCTCTCCTTATAACTCAAACCCTCCAGGCTGGTAACATCTTGTAAGTAAATCTTTGCACACTTTCCAATTTAATAATATCCTTCCTATTCCAGAGTAGCCTCACCAAAGTCTGTACAGCCGCAACATGATGTCCCTAAACTCAATGCTGTGACTGATGATGGCAAGCATGCCAAATACCTTCTTCACCACTCTGTCCACCTGTGACACCCCCTTCAAGGAGCAATGCACCTGAACCTAGATCTTTCTGTTCGACAACACTGAGAGTTTCAAAGAGGGAATTGCAGATCTTAGGCCACTGATCGCTTCAGGCACAGCTGTCTGCAGTGAGTCGAGAAAGCATGGGAAATAGGTGCGGGGCTAGAGATTGGAGAATTTCAGGATTCTGAGAGTTGTTGGCCTGAAGGATGTTATAGTGATAGGTGAGTTGGGAGTCCATATATGCAAAGTGTATTTTTAAATGTGATAGAATAATGCTGTTTAATCGAAGAGAGCAAAGTGCAATAGCTGCTGTAAATCTGAAGTAAAACTGAATAACACTGTAGAAGCTTAGCTGGTCTCGCAGTATGTGAGGAGAGAAAATCTGACTCAACGTTTCAGCCTGTGACCTTTCGTCCGAGCTCATTCTCAGTTATGTACCTGTTACAGATCTCTCACCGTCGACTAGCTGCCCACGCTTGTGGACTTTTTGTGGAAGCTGAAGGAATCGTCTTTGAGAAACGTATTGGAACCATTCTTCCGACCCTTGAAGCCGCGATTGATCCTGAAAGTTTTCAAGATGTGAGTTTCCTGCTCATGCACTGCGCAACTTTTTTAAAACTCATTGTTGGGGTTAGGGATAGGGGTGGTCAGCCTCACACAACAAATTTATTTTAAACATAAAGACAGAATCGCAGTGCTGTTTCATGAATCAGTTCTGGCAGTATGGAACAAGAGGGGCTGTGTTAGTAATTTGGGTCTAGGAGGTCAGAGTGTATCTGTTAAAGATAATGGACATTATTGTGGCGCACGGTCGCCCCAGTACCTTCTCGTCATTTGGGGCTCTGTGCTGGGAGTGCCTGGCTGCTTTCTCTAAGCCAGCCCCGTGCATGAAGGGATCATATGAAGCAGAGAGGTACAGACAGCTTCAGTGAATGGACAAAAATTTGCCAGATGGAGGAGAAATGTGAACTTGTCAACTTTGGCAGGAAAAGTAGAAAAAGTGGTATATTATTAAGATGGAGACAGATTGCAAAACTGAGGTACAGAGGGTTTTCCATGGTCCTGGTATACGAATCACAAGAAGTTAGAAAGCAGGTACAGCACCTGATTTTGAAGTGAAATTAAATGTTGTTTGGGGATTTGACTATAAGAGCAGGGATGCTTGGCCATTATTACACAAGCTGACAGTGAAACCCCTCTGGAGTATTGTGTGCAGTTTGGTCTCATTTTTGTTAAGAAAGCATACAATTGCCCTGGGAGCAGTTTTGTAGAGTGTGAAGTGGGTAAGGAGCCTGGGCACAGATGAGAGTTCTATTTAACAGTGAGATGATCTGGAATACACAGCCTGGGAAGGGAGGAGGAGAGAGGTTCTGAATAGAAATTGAATAAATATTTGTGAAGGGGATTATTTGCAAAGCGACAGGGAAAGAGCACGAGACTGGGACTAAATTCTAAAGCTGGATGCCTTCCGGCCCTGCTGTGCAATTCTGATCAGAAAATTTACATCTCTAACCTTGCTCCTGTAAAAGATAAATATGGTCCTGGATCCATTTCCGATCTAAGCTGGAGAGCCTTGAGTTTGCAGTCTGTTTCTGGTTTGTGCTCAGATCCATGAGGAAGAGGAAGAGAAAGCTACAGACCGTTTGCTGTTCAGCCTTTTGACTCTGACCGTGAAACTGGTGAAGAATTGCAACTTGATCCAGCTGCTCAAACCACGTGCTGTTCTCACCACTATCTGGGGTAGGTACAGCCTTGCACTGCTGATTGTAAACTGACAACTGCTCACAAGTGGACCCAGGGGTTGTGAGCGAGGTGGGGGTGGTATCATCAAGATGTGTGGTGGGGTGGGGGTGGGGTTGCTGTTAGGTGCGTGGAGGTATGTGTGGGTGGTGATATTTAGCTGTTTAGGCCATGTCTCACCTACTCTCAGCTTTTCGGACCAGGATTTTTGTTATTATGTCTGATCTTCTCACTTGAAAGAAAAGAAAAAATAAGATTTGGCCAGTTAGCCCCTCAGACCTGGTACTGGACCCTCCGTTTCCCCTTCCTGCCTGATTCCCTTGGTATCCACGACCACAATCTTTAATGTACTGAGTGATTCGGCATCAACACCTCTCCACTGTAGAACGTTTCAAAGATTGACAGCACTGTGAGTGAAGATTCACCTCATCTCAGTCTAAATGGCTGACCCCCTCGAAACTGCGGATATGTGGTTCCTTTAGCAGCAGATTAACAGGGGTGTAGTAGTAATGTCACTGGATTAGGAGACCAGAGGACCAGGCAAATACTCTAGGGACATATCTTTAAATTATGCCATGGCAACTGGTGGAATATAAATTCATGTAAAAGTAATGTTCAGTTAAAAATTGAGCTATAGTCTTGCAGAGTTGGCTGGATGGCTGGTTTGTGAGTGTTGCCAACAGCATGGGTTCAATTCCTGCACCAGCTGTGGTTACTATGAAGGACTCTCCTTCTCACCCTCTCCCCTCACCTGAGGCAGGGAGATACTCAAGTAAAACCACCCCGAGTGCTGTAAAAATCCATCTGGTTCATTATAATCCTTACCCGGTCTGGCCTACATGTGACTCCAGATCCGCAGCAATGTGGTTGACTCTTAACTGCCCCCTGAAAGGCCGAGCAAGCCACTCAACTCATGAGGAATGGGCAACAAAAGCTGTCCTTGTCCACAACATCCACATCCCGTCTAAGAATTTCTCGAAAGTAAATTTGAAGGTTTTGCAAGATTCATCAGCTGCGAGCTCACTAACACCGAATCTGCTAACTCACCACCAGATCACATCCAAGCTCACCTGTGGCACCCTCACTCCTGGGTTTGGCTCACCTCAGCTCAGCTCTTCGGAATGCTGTTCGCCTCCTATCAACCGGAACAACTGGTGGCCAAGTGGAACACTGGCAAGGCACCAGTCATGGCAAAGAATTCCCTCAAGACGCCAGCGGCACAGTTTTTGCTGGAAGAGCTGGACAGAAAGGTAGGCCCCTCCCTGAGGGGTAAGTGCTTTGATTCATGCCACTGGGGGCATTGCAGTCAGATGATGTCCACTCCTTGATTCTCTGTAAAACTGAATAGGTTCAACCTCTTCTCCAGTACAGAGAAGGCACAGCAGTTGCCTGGGGAGATTTGGAAAATGAAGGGTTTGACAAAGGAGTCATAGGGACCTTCTCTCCACTTGATAAATTCACCAGGAGGACAGGCCTTAAGAAGAAGAGGGTCACATATGAATCCATTCAGGAGTTCAGGATTAACACCTTTGGGTTCTCCCTCAGTACTGGCATTCTCATACTGAGGCACTCCCTCCAACAGTGCAGCACTCTCTCAGTACAGACCCTTTAGTTGCACGCCATTCCCTTAGCACCGACACCCCGACGGTGCGGCGCTCCCTCGGCGCCCATCCTCCGACAGTATTGGCTGCTTCAGTTGCCTGATGAACTGACGTCTCTGAAGTGAAGCCACAACCTTCTGTCAGATGATTGTGCTTCCCCCTGAAGCAAATGCACTTGTTACACTTCATGTAACTGTGTGAATGATCTGAATGTTAGTACACCTCTCTGTTTACCATATACATGAGAGTGGTATATTGAGACATTACTGTACTTGTCAGCCAATTTTAACAGATTTCTCTTGCTGTTCTTATTCAGTAACATGCTGAACAATGAGTTGCCGTCATGGGAACAGATGGCTACTATGCAGACGCAGTTGTTTAAATTGGGAATGTTGCCCTTGGTAACTGCAGTAGTGGCTATAAATGGGCCTTTGTGGTTCTGTTGCCTTTAACCAATAGCACAGCGGAGATTGATGCTGCTGAAGGCTGTCTCTCATACTCGTACAAAAAAATTCTGAGTGAGAACTGGGCGGCAGCAGTGCAATTGGAAATTGCCCACTCTGCGACAGGTTTAAGGAAAACCTCCTCCAAGACTTTGGATGTTTGCAGTCTAACCGGTTGCATTTATTTGAAGCATTTTATTGCATCCTGATGATTTTCTAAAGAAGAGGGCTTTCTGAAATGCAATCGTTCATGTTGGAAATGCAGCAGCCAATTTGCGCATAGGGAGATTCCACAAACAGGAATGACTAGAGATAGCTGTAATAAAGAGCCGGCATGGGACCGATGGACTGAATGGCTTTGCTCGCTGTTGTTTCATTCTAGGTTTGTTGACTGAATGGGCTACCCTTGTGTGTTTTGATTTCTGTGAAGCTTACCCTCGATTTTAAATCCTAAGTTTCTGAATGCTGTTGATTTGTTTTTCAGACTAAAGTCTTGGCTTTAGCCTTTTGTCATCAGCTGCAGTCCAAGTTCCTGGATGTCATGTTGGGTGAACAGGTATGAAGAGGTATTACTGTTCTGTCGCAAATGCAGAGAGTGCTGGAGAAATTCGGCAAGCCTGGCAGCATCTGTAGAGAGACACACAGTTCACATTTCGACTCCACCGTCATATGCTCCACAGATGCTGCCTGACTTGCTGAGATTCTCCAGCATTCTCTGGATTTGTTTCAGATTTCCAGCATGCACAGTATCTTGTTCTTATTAATGTTCTGTCACTTGGGACTGCAAGGCTGGGTGTGATTAGAACTGGGGACAGTCCATGCATCACCAAAGGAAAGTGTCAAATAGTCCAGTTTACATTTTTCTTACAGTCGTCATTAAATGTTTATTCTGCCAGTGTCAGATTTCTTTAGCATCACTATTCACGTTTTAACATCTCCTCTTACTTCAGAATATTTTTTGTCAGTTTGAGAGCCCCATAAGGATGGAGTTTTTAAAGGGGGATAAAAAGACCTCTGCATTTAACTAGCATCTTTATGCACTGGACCTCCCAGAGTATATGACTTTGCTCCATACTTCAGTGAAACAAAGCCACTGTTGCATCTTGGGAAATCTGGCTGCTGTTTTGTGCACAGCAATGTGACAATGACCAGATAACCTAGCAAAATGATGTTGGTTGAGAGTTCAACAGGGCACTGAGGGGTGGTCCTCCCTCTCTTTGCATAATAACACAGGAGCTTTCATTTACATATACCCATGAGGGTCAACTGGGCTTGGGTTTAACGTCTTATTTGAAAGATGACCCTTCCAACATTGCAGCTGGCATTCAGTGCACTGTCTTCCAACCCTGCTACATTTAGAAATTTTCAGCAGGTTAATAGGTTACTCAGTGAGTAGGATGGTTTGGCTGGCTCCCACTTGCTTGTAAATTCCATCTGAGAGTCAAACACAATATTTGACATTTCGCATTCTTGTCGCCAAACAGGTGATAAAGAATTTGCTGTTTGTGGCTAAAGTCATCTACCTCTTGGAGTCTGTCAACTGTGGAGATGGAAAGAAGGAAAAGGAGACAGCGGAAAGCGAGGATGAAATGGGAGCCGAGGAGATGGAGGAAGAGACGGCAGGAAAAGGAGCTTCTGACAGTGCTGAAGGGAAGAAAGTAACCCTCAAGTGGCTGATCAGGAAACTCTGTACTCTTGCCAAGAGAGAAGCAGCCCATTCCCCAAAAATTCCTTTGAAGGTACTGTTAGTCTCCAGTCCACATTTCTGTAGCACCCTAAGTGATAAGATGCCTCAGGTTGTTTCACAGCAGACAGAACAGTGATGGATGGAATTGTTGGGGAGGGGTTGTTGATGAAGAACCAGGTCAGTAAATGAGAAGACTTAAAAACCCAGAAAAGGGGCATATGGGGGGTATATGAAGTTACAGGTTTTGGAGGAACCCATTTGCATCTCTAATTTGTTCTGTGATTCAACAAAACAATGGTTGGTTGGTATCCCATTTACCTTTCTTCGCTCCAAATCATGTAATATCCTTCGCTTAGTGAGAATCTATTATTTAAAAGGAGTGGGTTTATTTAGCAAATGCAACATTACACAAATTTACCTCCTCCTTACTAACCTCTTACGCCAGCAGTATGTCTTTATAAACTGCTTGTGTGGAATTGTTTACTAAATTGTTCATTTTTGCATGGGATGCAGGCGTTGATGGTAAGTGCAGCATTTGTTGCCCATCCCAGTTGCCCTTGAACTGAGTGCCAGGTTAGGTCGTTTCAGAGGGTGGTTCAAAGTCAGTCATATTGGAGTCACACATAGGCCAAACTAGTTAAGAGTGGCAGATATCCTTCCCTAAAGGATGTTAGTGAACCAGATGGATTTATATGGCAATTGACAATGGTCACTATTAGATTAGCGTTTATTTCCAGACTTTATTGTTTTGAAATTTTGCCATTTACCATGGTGGGTTTGAACCTGTCTGTCTCGAACATCGGATTACTAGTTCAGTGACATTACCACTATGCCACCACCTTCGTTTTAGGATTCCAGTGGGCGAACAATGCCCTTCATCCTGTGAATCTGAATGCTGTTTACATGTCGTTAACAAACCTTATCAAGATCCTAAAATGAACCTCCAATCAACTCACCAATTCTCCTTCAGGACCAGAATGGCCTCCTGTGGTGTCTGTATCTCGGTGAAGTTAGCCAAATAAACATTTATTTCCATATTCCCCAAAGCGGATCATGTAGTCTGTGGATGTCACGGGGTGAGTCAGTAAATCCCATTAGGAATGCGGGGAATGTATGTTGTAGACTTTCGGGCAAATGATCTCCTTGAAATTGCAAGATGTGCTCCTTTCAAACTCCACTTGCCTTAGGTAGCGAAGTCGATAAGGGACTAATAATGTTTATTTTCATTGTTTTTCTGTCCAGAGGACCTGTGTCTTTAAGTTCCTTGGAGCAATCGCAGTAAACCTTGGAATGGAAGGAGTGAAGCCTTACCTCCCAATAATTATTGCACCTCTTTATAGAGAATTGAACAGTACTTACTCAGAGCAAGGTAACCTTCATTATTGGAGTTGCTCAATCATTCCTCAATCATTATCAGGACATTCAATCTGTCACAGTGTCTCTTCACAAACTCCCCTACTGGCTCCATTGGTAAAGAGATAGTCGAACTCTATCTTGTGAAATTGTAGGTCACAGAAGGAGACCATTCAGCCCATCATGCCTGTATCAACATCCAAGTAATCCCACTCCCCTGCTCTTTCCCCATAGTCCTGTAAATATTTTTCTTTTTCAAGTGTTCAGACATTGAAGGCCAGATTTAGATCTTAATCTCTGTTGGGTTAAATATTCATATAAGGGTGAAATAGATAGGGTGAGCTGGTGTCAACCTGTGCATTAATGCAAACGTGTGAGCTTAATGTGCATCTTTTTAACATTTGACGCATCACTGGAGGTGACGCTTACCACTGTGAAACACAGGTCAACGTGAGGATGAGATTGCAGCTAACTTTGAAAAATTCAGACAATAAAAGTGAAACTAGCAGCATATCTGATCAGCAGTTGCAAAGCATGAATTCCAACTAAACCAATCCATCTCGGAGAATGTGCAGCTCAGGAATAGGCTATTCAGCCCCTCTGTTCCATGTTGGATCTTGTGCTCCACTCAAGCCTCCCTCCTGTCTCCTCTCCATCTGCCACTCCATAAATATACTTATCTCCCTCACGCACCTATCCACTTCCTCTGAAATGTATTTGTTATTTGCCCCAGCCACTCCCTGAGGTAGCGAGTTCCACATTCTTAATTGCTTCAAGAGAAAGAATTTCAGTCATTTATTAACTGATTCCCTGAGCTAACCCAGAGGCTAACCAATGACTATTGGAAGTTGAGCATTAAACACAATAAAAAAAAAACAAATCTGCAGATGCTCGAAATCAGAAACAAAAACAGAAGTTGCTGGAGAAACTCAGCAAGTCTGGCAGCATTTGAGGAGAGGAAGCAGAGTTAACGTTTGGGTCCAGTGACCCTTCTTCAGAACTGAAAAAACAATAACTGTGCTTTCTCTCCACAGATTTTGCTAGATCTGCTGGGTTTTTCCAGCAATTTCAGTTTTTGTTTTTGACTTTAGTTAGCTAGTTGCTTCATAAAGGTGGGAAAGTTGTGTTTTATTTTATTGTTGATGTGTTTCAGGTTTTGAAAATGTCTTAAGCTTCAGTGAGACCTGTCCTTGCTCCATGCAGGGTCTGGTGTTTACAGTTTAGTCTTCGGAATGACCCAGCCTGCTGCTGCTGCTTTGTCCTTTTCCCGTTTCAGACCCAACACTCAGGAATCTTTCCCAGGAGATCATCGAGCTGCTGAAGAAACTGGTCGGGTTGGAAACATTCTCTCTGGGCTTTGCAGCTGTGCAGAAACAGGCCAGCCAGAAGAAAGCTTCACGGAAAAGGCAGAAAGCTCTGCAGGTTCGGATTGAGTCAGGGCAGGCTGTGAACTGGCTGCTTCCTCATACTCCCAACAGTAGAAGATGTCCTCAATTCTCACCTTTCAGTCACTTTTTAACAGCTACCTTCTTGACCAAGCTGAAGGGTCACACCTCCCTGTCAAAATTCTTGTTGGCCTCACCACACCCTATCTTTGTGACCACGTCTATCTGCACAAGTCTCTCAGCTTCTCTAACACTGACTTCTTACCTAGCATTCCCAGCACAGAAACAGGCCATGCAGCCCAACTGCTCTGTGCGAGTGCTAGTTCACACAAGCATAGGCCCATCTTCTCATCTCATCCCATAAACACACCTTTTTGTTCCTCTGCCCTGTGCTGGCCTAGCTTCACCTCAGTCGACACTATTTCTTTGAGGTGATGAGCTCCACATTCTAACCAATAAAAGCAAAATAATATGGATGCTGAAAATCCGAATCAAACACAGAGAATGCTGGAGGAACTCGGCCGGTCTGGTAGCATCTGTGGAAAGAAAAACAAAGTTACAGTTTTGAATCTGATATATTATGTAGAAGAGTCTTACTGGACTCAAAACATTTAACTGTTTCTGTCTCCACAGATGCTGCCAGACCTGCTGAGTTTTTCCAGCATTCTCTGCGTTTGTTCCACATTCTAACTGTAGACCTGAATTCCCTTTTCACTTATTGGTAACCATCTTAATTCCCTGTTTCTGATCTCCCCTCCTCTACTCAATCAAACTCTTTTGAAACATTAAAGCCCTCTACCAGGTCTCGCTGCTGTATGGATTTTTACGTAATCTGTCACTTTCTGCCACTCTAGAAATGAATGAAATTGCCTCACTTGCTCTTCTTAAGAGCTTATTAACTTTTCATTGCTATTTTCACATGTGTATACGGACCCTCAGATTCTGTGCTCTCGTATCCCTCTTACTGGCTTGTTTCCTAAGGGAGAATTTGGCTTCCTACCAAAATGCACCACTCCATACATAACTATCTTGGAAATCCCCAGTTTCGTCCTGTTGGCAGCACGTCTTTAGCTACTGGAGCCCTGAGCTCTGGAATTTCCACAAAAAGAAACCTTTCTTTCATCTTCTCTTTTAAGATGCTCGCTAAAGTCTACCTCTTCGGCCAAGCTTTTGGCCAGCAGCAGTAAGACTTCCTTTGTTTCATTATTCTGTTTTTATTTATTTATAAAAAAAATTGTTAGCTGTATGGCAATCACTTTCAGTTGTTGTTTCAGGAAAGGTATTCTGCCACCCTTACCTGCCCTGGCCTACATATGACTCCAGACCCACAGCAATATCATCAACTCTTAACTGACCTCTGGGCAAATAGGGACTGGCGATAAATGTTCGCGATAATGCCCTTCTCCAACAAACAAATTAAAAAAGTGCCCACCACTAGGCACTGTGACTGTCGCAGATGTTATTTAATCTCCCCTAGCCTCCACCCAATCACAGACCTGCCTTTACTTCATCCTGCCCCCTTCAATGGCTCAGAAACTCATGCACGGATTTGTGTCTTCAGATCTGCTTAAAGATCACTCAACCTGAGGAATGAACTCTTTCTGTCTATGAATGCTGCCAACCAGAACTTTGTTGCTTTTTTTTTTAATGTCTGTTCCTTTTTGTAAAGCCCTCTGTTCCTATGAGCTGCCTTGTGTATTTGAATGCCACATTTTTGATAATGCTGTCATGAAATGCCTTATGACATTGAAGATGCTGCACATTGCTGGTTTTAAGCACATTCTCATACATGGGTTTACATTTTTTAGCATTAATTCCAACTATCTCAAATGTAATGTTAGAATCGTAAAATCCCTGCAGTGTGGAAGCAGACCATTGAGTCCACATTGACCCTCCGAAGAGCATTCCACCCAGGCTCATCCTGTCCCGTAACCCTGCATTTCTCACGGTCAACTCACCTAGCCTATACATCCTTGGACACTATGAGCAATTTAGCATGGCCAATCCACCTAACCTACACGTCTTTGGACTGTGGGAGGAAACCCATGCAGACACAGCGAGAATGTACAAACTCCATGCAGACAGTCAATCAAGGGTGGAATTGAACCTGGGTCCCTGGTGCTGAGGGGCAGCAGTGCTAACCACTGGGCCACCTTGCCACTGTTAGAGATCGCCATTGGTGAATATTTGCTTATGCTAATTTATTTTTTCCCAGGACATGGGTCTCACTGGAAATTCCAGTGTGTGTAGTCCATCCCTAATTGCCCTTGAATTGAGTGTCTTGCTCAGCCATTTCAGAGAGCAGTTAAGAGTTAACCACATGTAGGCCAGACCAGGTAAGGATGGCAGATTTCTTCCCTAAAAGACATCAGTGAACCAGGTGGGATTTTATGGTAATCGGTAAATATTGTTGATTTTGCTGAGACTAGTTTTTGATCTCAGATTTATCAGTTGAATTTAAATTCCACCAGCTGATGTGGTGGCATTCAAACCTGCGTTTCCAGAGCATTAGCCTGGACCCTGGATTGAGAAAGTTGTGGTCTAGTGATGCCACTGATCTAGTAATCCTTAATGTTATGTTCTGGGGTCACAGGTTCGAATCCCACCATGGCAGATGGTGAAATTTGAATCCAATAAAATCCGGAATTAAAAGCTAGCCTAATAGTGTGACTGCTGTTGATTGTCGTAAAGACTCATCTGATTCATTAAAGTCCTTTAGAGAAGGAAATCAGTCTTTTCCTGGTCTGGTCTACATGTGACCAATAATGTGGTTGATTCTTAACTGCTCTCTGAAATGGTCCTAACAATTCCTGCTCAGTTCAAGGGGCTATTAGAGATGGGCCACAAATACTGGCCCAACCAGTTATCTTGCCCCTGCACTCCCCCGCCCCCACTCCCATGAATGAATAGAAACTGTTACAAGTCCAGTAACATTATCACAATAGCACCATCCAGATGGCGACTCCTTAAAGATATTGTTGGCATTTCCCCCATCTGTCATCATCACTGGGCCATTATCCTGTTTATTGGAAATGGATGAAAAGGCAGAAGATTACTTTAATATGGAAACATTGTGGGCACAAACGGGTTAATAACGTATGCAATATTAGTTAAAATCCCACCATGCCAGTTTGAGAATTTAAATTGTCAGTTGGGTTTTGTGAATAAAACGCTGGTGCGCCTGAAACTGTTTGTAAAAGGTTAACTGGTTCCCCTGTGTCCTTTAAGGAGGTTTAGGCAGAGCCTGCAGGGGTTCAGTCTTAACTGCCTTCTGAAATGGACATGGGATGAATATTAAATGAAGAGTTTGCCAGAGGCGCCCTGATAGATTGAAGTTTGAATGTTTGTTGACTTCTTGCAATGTATTAAGGGGCTTTGCAGTATAAATCTGTTGGATACTGCCTGCATTAATACCCTTCGTATTTTCATTCAAAACAGACAGTTGCAAACCCGGACATTGCCGCAAGGAAGAAACTGAAGAAGCACAAAAATAAAGCTGAAGCCAAGAAAAGAAAAATTGAAGTCCTTCGACCGGGCTACAAGGCAAAAAAGGCCCGAAGCAACACGCTGAAGGATTTAGCCATGGTGGAGTGAAATGTTTTAGTTCAGTCATTTTGTACATGATGGTTTTATGCGAGAAACTGAAAGATCACTTCTGATGGCCACATTTTTTTGTCCCCCTTTCCCAACAATTCCTTTGCACTGTGGCTCAGGAGTATTTAACATGAAGTACAGTTTAATGTACTGTTTGTCTTGACAGATTGTCAATAAATGGTGCTTTGTGGTTAGCGCCTGTTCTCAAAAGAAGCTGCTGTTATCTGTTAACTTTCTGGGAGAGAAGAATGAAAGCTTTAGTAACATAAAAATTGCACATTTCAGAGCTCTGAAAGGTTTATATGCAGAAAAAAGGGGGAGGGGGATGGGGTAGGGAGTAAATGATAGGATAGAGCCGAAAGAGAGAGAAGAGCAGATGGACAGACAGAGTTGATAATGATCAGGCTGGGAGGGTGAATAGTTGTTAATGGGAACTATTAACGACTCATAACAGGTAGTGGGTAATGGCGGGCTATGTGGTAACAGGGCCTGGTGTGTGGGGTAGGGGGCTGGGACATGGGAGAGTTTAGGTCCTAAAATTATTGAACTCAATATTGAGTCCGGAGGGCTGTAGGGTCCCCAAGTGGAAAATGAGGTGTCGTTCTTCCAGCTTGCATTGGGCTTCACTGGAACACTGTAGCAAGCCAGAGACAGAGATGTTGGTCAGGGAACAGGGTGGTGTGTTAAAGTGGCAGGCAACAGGTAGTTCAGGGTCTTTTTTTGCGAGCAGAACGTAGATGTTTTGCGAAGCAGTCACCCAGTCTACGCTTTGTTTCCGCAATGTAGAGGAGACCACATTGTGAGCAGCGAATGCAGTAGACTAGGTTCTGGGAAGTGCAGGTGAAGTGTTGCTTCACCTGGATGGTATGTTTGGGCCCTTTGATATTGGGGAGAGAGGAGGTGAAGGGGCAGGTGTTGTACCTTCGCCGGTTACAGGGGAAGGTGCCGTAGGGCTGTGGGGGGATGTTGGGGGTGAAGGAAGTGTGGACCAGGGTGTCCCGGAGGGAATGGTCCCTGCGGAAGGTGGACAAGGGAGGGGAGGGGGGGGAATATGTGTCTGGTGGTGGCATCTCGCTGGAGGTGGCAGAAATGGCACCTGATGATCTTCTGGATGTGGATGCTGGTGGCATGATAGGTAAGGACAAGGGGAACCTTATTGATCGCTGTTGCGGGAGGGAAGGGAAGGGGTGAGGGTGGAAGTGCGGGAGATGGGTCGGACCCCGTTGAGAGCCCTGTTGACCATGGAGCTGGGGAATCCTCGGTTGAGGAAGAAGGTGCACATTTCGGAGGCTCTTAAGCCTAAAGGATCTTGTGACAGGATGGATGTGGCGAAGATGTTGTTTCCTGTGGGAGAATCTAGTACTGGAGGTCACTGATTAAAAATGATTAGTTGCCCATTTAAGGTAGCGATGAAGCTAAACGTTTTCTAACAACATTGTCAAAATTTGGAACTTTCCTCCTCAAACGACAAAGGAAGTATGAATATTTTTAAGGTAAAGGTGAATAGATTGTTGAGGAACGAAGGAGGTGAAAGGTAATGAGGGGTTGACATAACCAGATCAGCTATGATCTTCATCAGTGGCAGTGTTCGGCTCGAGGAGCCAAATAGCTGATTTCTACTCTTTGTTCATCTGTTGTAAATCGATTAATATCTTGTAGAATAATTGTGACTTTGATTAAGGCAAAATACTGGACCCTGAAAATGTACAGATATACAGAGTCTGAAAGACTTGGGCTGTTCACAAATGCCAGCGTTTCCATTCTGATTTAAACCCCAAGGCAGATATTCTGCCTGTTTACTTGAACTCCATTTCCACACCTTTCGTTACACCTTTTCCATTCATCCCTCAAACCCTGGACCAAACACAAGTCCACTGATGTTAATCTTACAACTTTCTCCACCTCCACAGCCTTTAGGGAAGAAGAGATTCCCATTCATTTCCTTCGAAAAAATGTTCGCTGAATTCATTCCAAAATGGTTGAGAAATCTTTTTCGAGGAAGCGATTATTTTTCTGGATTTCATTCTCTCTATCTAGGCAATAAAAATCTGTTTAACATTTTAGACACTTTTTGATTAGGTCTGCCCTCAATCTTCCACAGTGGAGCACAGATATTATGACTGTAACTCTTAATTTAACCATTTCTGTTTCAATTCAGTATCAATCTGGTGAATCTGTTTTATTTTCTTTCAAAAGCTAATCTATCCTGCCTGATGTGTGGAGTCTCGAACTGACCCAGACTCTGCGTAACTTAAGCATTACATTTCCATCCTCATCTACCCTCACACCCAGCCCTGCCCAATGTACATTCCAAGCTCTTTGTGGTCTGCTTAATATTGATCGGAAATTCATTAATCATATCTAAATCTTGCTGTTCCATTTTCTGCCCAATGGCAAATGAGATGTATATCTCATATCATTTATAGAATAATAGTATTTACAGAAGGCCATTCAATACATAAATGTCTGTACCAGCTCCCAAAACAGCGGCCCAGCTATTTCCACTTTCCAACCCTATCTCTGTAGCCCTTTAAATTCATCACTTTCAAATATGTATCCAACTCTCTTTTGAATCCTCCCATGGAATGTGCCTCCACTGCTCTACCAGGCAGTGCGTTCCAAATCCTAACAACTCTCTGAGTAAAGAATTTTCTCCTCATCCTAGTTACTGACATACCAACAAGTAGAAATAGAAGATTCTTTATCCTGTTAAAATTGTTCATAATTTTGAATACCTCAGTAACGTCGTCATCTCTGATCTGAGGAGAATAAGCTCAATTTCTCTAATCTTCCCTTGTATCTAAAATCCCTCATTCCTGGTATCTTTCTAGTAAATCTCCTTTGCACTGTCTGCAGGGCTTTAACATCCATTTATCCTAACTATGATGTTCTGTTTTTTTTTACTTGAAAATTATTCATTTAAATTAGGCAAAGTTCCTGATTGAAGGGAAGGGCTGGGAAGGTGGTTCAGTGGTCCCTGTACATAGGATTTGCTGACATCATTCTTGTAAACATATGTTTCACATTCTTCCTTCTCTGGATGCTTTCACCTGTTTGCAGGAGGCACAGGGTGACTAATTCACACTTAAAATAAAACATCTCTCGCTTACTAATTAAAAGTCACATCCTACAGCAACTGTAGGAAAAATAAATTAGTTTTCTTCAGGCTTAAAATTGCAGATATCTTGAGAGCCTGTGGGAGATCTGGTAGCTTCTCAATGTTTTGTTCACAATACCAAGCAGTTCAGCTAATAACCAATCACGTAGTTGTTGGTAGACAAAAGGCCTTTGTCGTCAACATCTGGTCACTAGTTGACAGACCAATCAGCTACTTGTTGCCAGCTGAATCTCTGTTTGTACACAGCCTTTGGTTCTATTCATCTCCAAACCGTCTAGTATTGTTTGAATCCACAGCTGTGTAAACAATATTTACAATGAGCATCAGGTTACTTGCTTTCCAAACCTGCAGTAATCCCTTCAGCGTTCTTCCGTTTTTAAAACAGTTCTTTTCTCATTTCAATCCACAGTCAAAAATACAGAAAAATAAAAAGACCGTCTTTACAATCAGCATAAGCCAGTTTGCTACTGTTGTGCAAATATATCCAGTTCTAGTCTGAAATCCAAGCTAATGGGAATTAACTGCAAATTTTCAGTGCTTTTAGGAATTTATTTTTCATTTGAATGTTGTGTGATTGGATGCGATAATTGCCTCTGGGATCAACAGTAATTTCGAAGTTGCTGTATACACAACTGAATTTTGGGACATTCTATATTCCTGGGCACAGAGGAGAACAATAGGAAATCTGGAAGAGAGAACTGAGTCTGGTAGTGAGTTAGACACTGGGTTCCAACCTGTAAAGCCTTAAATGCAACCCAGATTGATGAGTTGGGAATCTTGTTGAAGCAGTTTGTGGATTCACAAAGGTTTATCATCAATTGTTCTGATAGAGTTAAGTGAGACATAGTTAGTATTGTGTCTCAAGTGAGTCAGAGGAACAACTCAGTTTGGATCTCTGGTTCCCAGAGCTTCACCTCTGTATGTATTCCTCACCTCATGCCTTAGTCTATTGTGGACCCATTGCTGAGATCCCTTGATGCATCTTATTGAGCTTAGAAACTCTTAACGGGGCGTGCAAGAGTGGACATGGATAGACTGCTGAGTCTAGAACCAGAGCTCTCAGTCTAAGAACAGAGTTAAGCCATCTGAGAGTGAGATGAGATCTTTCTTCACTGAGGGTGGTAAATCTGGAATTCTGTAGCCCAGAGGGAGGTGGAAACTCACTCATTGAGAATAGTCAAGACAGAGATTGTTAGATTCCTAGTGACTATTGACATCAAGGGATATGCCATGGTGGTAGATGATGAACTGTGGGCTAAATTTGATTGTTGGAGCAGGCTAGATGGGCTAAATGACCATATTCTGTTTCCTTGCTTTTATCGACCCGTCCTAGATGGGGCAAAGCAGTGAGGTAGTGGTGATGTCACTGGATTAGTCATCCAGGACCTTAGGCTAATGGTCTGGGGGCGTGAGTTCAAAACCCATCCATGTACATGGTACAAGTTGTATTTAATAAAAACCTGAAACTAAAATGCTAGCCTAATGGTGACTGAATACCATTATTGTTTCAAGCAAAAAAATCAGAAGGCTCTCAAATGTTTGTTAGACTGCCCTTACCTGGCCTGGCCTGCATGTGACTCCAGACCAAAACCGATGTCATTGACTGCTAGATGTCCTCTGGGCAACTAGTGATGGACAATAAATGGTGACCTGGCCAGCCACACCCACGCCCCATGAAGGAGCATTTTTTGAAAAAATTGACTACCATCGTGCATTTATATTATCCCCAAATAGCCAAGTAGCCACTTCTTTGTTCGTTTGATACTGATGGGATCTTTCTGGTGCATTTGTCTCCTCAATACCAGTAACCTCACTTCTTGGCTACCCCAGTCATCCTGCACAGAAGGGACCTTTTCCATGGATTTCTCCCACAGTGACAGGTGCTATTCAGCATATTATGCCAGTGGGCCTAACTGGCTGTGATCTGATGAAGAGTCATCTAGACTCGAAATGTTAGTTTGCTGACTCTCCATGGATGCTGTCTGACCCACTGTGATCCTGCAGCATTTTGTTTTCGCTACAGATTCCAGCATCTGCAGTAATTGGCTCCTAATTGGCCGTGTCTCTAATTTACTCGGGAAGTTCAGAAATG